CCTAAATTGGTTCTGACATGCTGAATACCCTTTTTTTTTTTTTTAAGTTTTCATTGTTACTGCTCTTTATTACATCTCTACAACTCCGAACTTTATTGTCTTTGGGGGTTGGAAACACTGCATATGAATTTATAGATGTGATGACATCAGCAATTTAATGGGTGCAACATAATACTAACAATAAGACACATACAAAAATAAACCTGACTTTTACACAGTTCCTCAAAAAAAAAAAAAAAAAGTTAAGTGGTTAGAGTGCTTGGTTTTGTTGCCGACTGTTCATACTTAATTTTCTCTTCTTAAAGTTATGTTCACGTTTAAAGTTCAAATGACTTTTCATTCAAAATAGACTAAACTGGCTTGTTTGCATAACTTTGTTTATAGAGGGAGGAAAAATGGTGGTGGTGGTCTAAGAAGTTGGTTCTGATTCACAGAGATCCTGTATAGGATTTCCGAGGCCATTCTTTACGGGAGCAGAAAGTCTCATCTTGCTCTGGCAGAGTGGCAGGTAGTTGCAAACTGCTGACCTTGAGGTTGGCAGCCCAACTTGTAACCACTACGCTACCAGAGCTCATAAAGAAAACATCAATATGTTTTCCATTTAAATCTCATTGTTTTTAATCCTCTCTGCTGTGCTCTAAACTGGTGACCAAATAGCCACAGTGTTGTTACTGAAGTCTGGTTTGATTATGTTGAACAACATACCTGACTTTTTTTCTGTAACAGCTTCAGAAGTGCTTTGGAAGATGCTATCACTAGTTTCAGTACTTGGGGAGGGTTAGAGAGGCAAGCTTAGTATAGTAAGGATTGGTATAGTTTTGATGCTGTGCGGTATAGTAGCTGTTCCAAATTTACAAGAAGCTCTCTAGGTCCTTTGCATTGAAAAGAAAAGATACCCATGAGGAAAAATCAGCAAAATGATTTCCCACTCTCTTCTTCCTTTCTGGTAAACAAGAGAATCACATGAGCACAGGCTACGTTTTGTTTAACATAAAGCAGGGGAAGGGGGCAGTAGGTATTATAGCAGAGTGATTGAAAGTGGAGAGTTTGGTGTCACAATACCTGAATTTGAGTCACCATTCTTCCACCTATTTTCTTTGTGACTTTGAAAAAAATTAGGGATCAGGGAACACTGTAGCAAGATAAACTTGAAGTCTAGTTCTTGGCAAATATCTTAGCTGTTATTTCATCAGGACAAACCAGAGTGGATTAATGAGGTCTTTTCACTTTGTCAAAAGGACCTCAGATTTTAAAAGCATTGGAGCCTAATTTGCCAGTTGCAAGTATGACATCATAGCCTACAACTTAAATATGTACCATCTGAGAGTTCTGAACTCATAACCTGCAGCCAGTGAAATGTTTTTTGTTTTCAGTTTATAGCTGAGTCAACGTGTTATGATGCCATCTCGTACCAACCTGGTTACTGGGATGCCCAGTAGTAAAGTGAAGTACTCAAGGCTCTCCAGCACAGATGATGGCTACATTGACCTCCAGGTAAGTGCCAAAGGGAGCTGGCAAGACTGGCAGGCTGTGTTTCTACTGAGTTGGCAGGAAGACCTTCTAGGTCGAGGTTTTTGTTAGCTGCCCTTGGGGATTATAGGAAATGACAAGAAGGAAACTCAGCTGAGACCCTTTCAGCATATCCTCAGAAAGAAAGATCTTGGCAGGACAGTTTCCAACAACGATAAGCGCTGTCCATGTCTAAGAATTTGTAGTTATCTCATAAAATTAGTCTTAATTCATTATTTACAAGGTTTTTTTAAAAAGTGTATTTAGAAAATGAGCATATTGTTAAGTAGAATTTTCTTTTTAAGACTATGTTACCAATTTGTGCATGATTTAGTGAAAGCCAGTTCATTTTTGAAGGGAGAAACTAGCCACTGAAGCAAACAGATTGTGGGGAACTTCCTTCTTTCGTGATGTCATGAGATCCAGTTTATTAAAGGTATTTTTTGTATGGCAAACAGTAAGTAAAGCAGAGCATATTAAGTTTCTGTCATACCTTGATCATTTTTTATAAAATAGCAAATAGTGTATTATCTCCTTTTGCCTACTTCCTGTTAGAATAGAATATTCTGGGGAGACTTGAGGCCAAGTCAGAAGTAGCAGGGACTCATCCTCTTAAATATAAACAAGTCAGTTACTCTTTGTACTATTTGGACCTGTACTTGAAGGAGAATGTTTCTTTTTAAAAAAAATAGGCCATTTTATCAGATATAATCAGGAGCCAGAACCGTAAAGCTTGCCTCTAGATGTTAGTTATAAATTGAACTTGTTCTGTGTTAGACAGGCAACTAATAATTCCGAGATAGTTGAGTTTGTATTTTTGTCGAACCCTTGACTATTTGTTGCTTCATTCTGAATGTAGAAACCACCTTCCTTCTCCATAACATGATGCTCACTCTTGACCTCCACGAATTAATACAGTGCCTGGCTCATGGAGGACACTTTGGGGAAAAAGACCTGATAGTCTGCTCCAGGAAGAGGATAGCCTAGAAAATTCTCTGAGGCAGTTTTTTATTCTGTCACATGAGTCACTGTGAGTCAAAAACTTGACTTCACAACAACAGTGAATGTTCTTGTAGTGTGTTAGAGAATAGTTGCTTTTGGAACAATGAATGGTGTATGAGATGAGACAAGAACTAGAAAGAATGGCATTTTATTGGGCTTCCTTGGTGTGGCTGTCAGAGCAATAGCTGGAGCTTTCTTTCTCTCCCAGAGCTACAGCTTTGCATGCT